CTGGCCGATCATTCTTACGGAAATCGAGGAACGCGTAAGAATCTAATTTACAGTCTCGAAGACCAATTTTTACTCCACACCCCAGCATCATTTTACTCAAAAAGGTTGGCTTGTACATTACTTAGAGAAGTACCCGTCTGGGCTATCTTACAACCCCAAGTCCTTTTAAAAAGAGGCAATCGTCAATCAAATAATATTTATCTTCTTGGGATTCACCCACAGGACTTTTTTTATGAATCAAAGGGGACTTTGTCTGCGCCAAGGATATACTTGTCTGTTTGCGAAATAGCTTCATAAAGCACATACAATCGCGCTCCACTTGCAAGTGTATGGTGTGATTCCTTCCTGTACTCTTCACGGCTACGGTCGCATATATCATCGCAATAGCTATGTGCAAAGAATCGTTCATCCAGACTAGCTGTATCACCACACGACTTAATATTGCTGGTGCATCAGTCAATTCCTGTGGCTATACAATCCAGTATTAGAGCATTCCGTTTTGATGTTCTCACCGCAGCGAGAGAAACATCGCTGTGTATCATCAGCAATTGGTAGTTACAATCAAATGGGTTGAAGGCACTGATAGAAGTGCAACCGATGAAGCTGATCTGCAGCATATCAATTCGAGGGATCGACGCTTGCGCCGGTATATTGGTTGCATTTAATTCATTATAAAAAATAAGTTGCCAGCCGTTCTGATAGAGAATATCGAAGCCAAATGTAAATTTAATCCGTATCACCAAAGCCGCTTCGCTCATCGCACCAAAGAAGCATCGATATCGTCTCATAATACTCTTGGTAAAGAACACTGAGGTAAGATTCTATATTCAGTTCGATGAACCAGGTCACCTTCATGTCACACCACCCTACCTGACAAATTACACGCGTGGAGGATCTATCGAAATCACGTCAAGATAATTCCTAAACAAAGTGTAGTATTGTAAGTTGGCGCTGTTTTACAAATATTCCCTCAAACACAACACACGCTTGTACTACGAGAAAGCGATTTCGGACGTGGAGGGAGAGGGACAGTCCCTACTTAAAGGAAAGTAGAACGTCTTAAGAATTTTGAGATAATTTCGCAATTGAACCAAAATGAGTAATGGTTCCAAGCTACACGCAAAACACCTGAAAAGCTTCTAAAGGTTTTGCTGATAAAACCTCTAGCTTATGATTTATAAATCAAGGGTGTATTGATGTTAAACCTCAGAGTCAATTTATACAACATGTTGGGTATACAAAGCTTGAACTCTGAAAGCTTAAACCTAACTTTCGTGGAAAATATTCAGTAGAAGGGACTGGCTAACGCCACCCACTTTTTAAAGACAGAGACACGTCGTTCTAATCACCTGTACATATTCTTAAGTTGATCCCAGCATTCTGTGTCACATGGATTATTTTTGACTTCATATAAGAAACCACGTTTGCATTTGGGAACACCATACTGTAATCTTCTTTGATTAATTCCTGCAATGCATACAGAAGGTACCTTCATGTAGTGGCTAAGTGTAGGTCATTACAAATCTCCTCGAGGATAGAAATCACACGCCTCGAGTCTGTGCAGATGCCTTCAACGGCAGAGCCATCGGTTATGGTTGACGAGATCGGTCCCTCCTCCTGTATCAATGCTACCATTTCAGTTGACTCGCCGTCATGCAAGTATTTGCACAAATTTCGATAGATGAATCTTCCGAAAATGCTAAAGCTTCTATTGGAGGTATATATAGCGTTTAGAAAAACCCAATCCATTCATTCACAGTTGAAAAAGCTTTCTTGCCGAGTATCCTTGGATCTTCACTGCTTCGCATGGTAGCTCTGTCTTACGGTATTGCGAAATCAGCAATGTTGATACAAATGTACTTTTCTCCTTACCTTCGGAGCTTGGTCCGACTACTCACGACTAATAATCGTACTGCAACACCAACAGTTCTACTTCATCACTCAGTCGCTTTTGCGCTTTTGCAGCCTTAGCACAGGAGGCAATACCTCATAGCTGTTCATAAATATCCCGCTAGAGGTACACTTTAGAAACCACGACATACAATCGTATTTTCTCGTCTCAACAGATGTATATTCTGGGGGCCACAATAAACAATCGCTCTTCTCTGTCTCATCGCAACCTCGGATCACAACCGCTTTGCTGTCTGAGCTCTGCTCATGGTACCTAGTAATTTTGTTGCAAACAATTTTGGCATTCTCATGTAGCTGTCGTGATTTTTTGCTTACGCCAAATTCGCAACGGATTTCCAACAGACGTGAAATCATGCCTCACCGAAGCTTTACCGGAAAAAAAGTGCGGGAAACCTTCGGTCGACCCACAACTTGAAGCATCCCAACCACGCCATACCAAAAATGACTTCAGTTCTCAAATCAAAGTCCAGAACTAGACAACGTCCCACGCTGTCAGATTTTTTAATTCTCACTGAAGGTACACATTGACAATCCTATTGTCGCAAGACCAACGAATATCTAATTTGGTGTCTTCAATAATCCACTGTTTTCGACGCTTGCGCATTCTCCGTTGCGTTCAAATCATTCAAGACTTCCTACGACATCAATGCCGTAAACACTGAAATCACCAGCCAATAACACTATGCTGTGAGCACTACCCCAAAACGCTTCTTCGAGAGGTTTGGCACGTCAATTCCCATTCTCGCGTGTGACTTACTAGCTTGGAAATCACAAACGCTCTCGCCGTTGTTTTGTTGGACCGTAGTCGAATCTACGGCTTCTCAAATTTTCTCATACGAAGGTAGGAAGGTAGAGATTTTCTCCGCACCAGATATCTAAGCCAGAGCAATCGGCATCATAGGTCTCATGGTAGGAGATATCTGTTCTTCCACCAGCGTCCGGCTGAGCGTATATGAACCTGCAACACAAGCGCATTTATCAGAACGTCAAACGCGTCCAGGTGACCAACATCAGATCCGGCACATCGACGCCAATTCTTAGATGCCCAAGAAAGAAAAACTGGTCGATATGCTCCAAAATTTGAGTTGATGCTTCATGCGTGCAAAGGATACACTGCTTTCACTATTCGGCTGTGAGATTGACTATAAGTGCTACCAAGTACAATGGGTCGCTGCGTACTATGTGCAGTGGGGGCCTCGACTTCCAGAATCCGCCTTAATAAACACACATAGCATGGTCTGTGGGCTTGTCTCAGGAGCGGAATCGAGAGCTTTAAAGAAAACAAATAAGTTAGTTTACTCTACTGTATCAAGAGTATATGCATTTGGAATTACTTCTATCGAGACTCAAGCGAAATATTTTTCTAAAACTCGTCCCTTGATCATGACGTGCGGCTACCAGCCCAGGTGTTCAAAAACCCTTCATTAAATGAGTTCCGTCATCTACAATTTTGCACTTAATATTACACCAAGAGTGGTGAGGATTTCGTGCGATTATGACGTGAGTTATTTGGTGTAGCTGTACCAAATGTGTAAGGAGTCAGTAGACAAGATTACGGTATTTGCCCCGTTACATATTGGGTCACGACCTTTTCGTCGAATAACACATCGGCCTCCTCACCGAGTATTGCTTAAGAAGCGTCGTCTGTAAAGAACGAGCCTTTCTTGAAGGCACGCTTGGTAATGTGATCGAAAAGAACTCGCGATGCAAGTTCACTCATAGGGGCAGGCACTATAGAGTACAACGAGTGGATTCGACATGCGCGTAGTGCATGTCCAATGAACAGACACTTTTCACAAATTCTAATATGACAAATAAGTTTAACCTCGGTGTGGTCTACATCTTTTTGGGATTTTGCCAAACGAGGTGTGTGTGACATACACCTTATATTTGTGTACAATAGTGCAACATACAATGTTGTACAATCGCACAAAATGCACAACGAGCTTTTGTGTAATCGTGAGTATTCTGAGGTATCGAAGGTATCGGCACATATAAAGATGATGGAACTCCTAAAAGGAGAAATCCTTGGTAAACGTGCCTGTTTGCCGCAAATCCAGTCATGAAGATAGTTTTAGTATTAGATATAGTGCACATGTCACTGTTGGTAAAGCAAGGCAAGCTAAGTGCTTAGTTTCTTTAGGGGCTCTCCGTTTCAGAGCGTACGAACCCAAATATTATTCGTTTGTAAATGGGAAGCTACTATGTGAAGGCTTCCATTATGCTGAATGCACGGTAACCACGTTGCAATGACCATCTTAGCTTCTCTCACACGCTGAGAAAAATATTTCGTCCTAATGCCTGGACGCTCGACGGTGGAAAGTGGTCATGTTCTGTTAATGCCTGATTGACGTTCATGAAGGTTTCCTACGAGCGCATTTTCATCGCTGACACACACGTCCAAACGAGCAATTGATCCTTCTACCCCGTGAGCAACCAGCCGTGCTACATCTTGGGAGTCAAATCTACTTTCCTAGCTTGTCAAGTTTTCTAGAGGACATAAAGTCGAACAAATCGCAATCGATTATCCCAGACATTAAATGTTTACTTTCACAGATGTAGCTCTTATTTTACTAGTCTGCGTCAACAACGTGTAACTGGGTAATTTGTCTGTGGAAATTACTGATATTCACGTCTTGCTTAAACAAATATTAGTTACATCTGGTTACAATAGCAACAATCATAAACGCTGCAGGGCTTACAGCTAGCAGTTTACGCGTCACACGGATCAGAGCTCCATCCCATTATCCGTACCAGTACTAATCATGATACTTTATCATGGTATCTAAGCCTGGCTCTTCGGACTTAGGCGCTACCTCCCGTTATAGCATAAGCCATAATACGGTACATACCGTCACAAAATCGTACTGGAAATCGTACTATCCACCGGTATGTACGGTGTAGGGGCGGATGTAGGCTTTGTAAATGACGAATATAAATATACTTCTGCAGCAAATCACATTTTTTAGCATTTCATACGTGACATACGTTGGTGCGGAATAATTTCGCTCAAGTCATTACTCATTTTATGGTCTATCTCGACAAGTACAATATTAGGCTAGCTAACTGAAAAATTCTATTTTTCGGCCTTATACAAGGCAATAACATGTAGGCGTGCGAAGTGAAGGCGCATTCCGGCGTAAAGGCAACCGGCAGCTAACGTCGATGGTCATTATGCTGCGAAAGATGTCAAGTTCCTCACAGCTTAGTACCAAGGGGGCTTCATGAAGATTAGTTGGCAGGAACAACTCGGTGTTGACATCATCATGTTCCATTTTCGATTCGCTCAACATCAAGACACCGTTATTAACTGCTGACTCAACAGTGCGTGGGGAATGGTTCTCTGCGGTGAAACTGCAATTTTCTTCCTTATTTTTGATCGATAGGGCGGACGAGACGGATTTGCAAGGCGGCGTATGCGCCTCACTGGGTAATTTTGTACGCTGCATGCGCTTCTTGCGGTCAAGTTTCTTTTGATTTATGTTAGCACGCTCACGATGAAATTCACATAGTTTGTGAGCCTTTCCATCGCGCTTAAACGCCTGTAAGTTTAAACACTTGCCGGTTCGATAGCCACAACGAGCAGGAACGAAGCTGCCATCGAAGCTAAGTAGCGATGGATGCTGAACAGCGCTTGATGTCTTCACCTTTGAACGGTTGCTTAGTGTAGTGGAAATGCAAGTTCTGGTATACGTTGCAGCGATAGGCTGGCAAACTGTATTATGACAATCGTTCTCTTGTGGGGCAGCGCCGAACAGCATGCCCAGCTCCTCTTCAGTAAGTGACATCGTGTCCAATGGGGCGACGGATTGCTGCATCGACTGCAAAATTTTGAATGGGAATCTGTTTGATCAGCGCAAGCAGCTGCAGGTACATGTGACATCAGACAGGCCCTGATCGATCATAGACTGATCAGCTCTATTGTGCAACTCCTGCTCATTCCTTCACTAGAATTGGCATTTCAACTGTGGGATTTTTGGTGTCATTCATAGTAGCACCTCGCTTACATACGGGGCCAGTGACAACCAAAATTGAAGGGAGCGGGGACATGGACGGCCGCAGTGACGGGATCTGCGCATGACCATGAGTTAGCGATGGCATGCTGAACCATTCCTGAAGCTTTGTGTAGAGGATACGAATTAGCGTCTAGTTTACGTTTTATTAATAGCTTACGAGAAATAGGTAGCTGCAAATTTCGCTGCTCCGGCTATCTAGGGTCCCTCAAATCTATACTGCATGAAATATTTATGCGGGAATAGATTATTGCGAGTGAGATTATATACATTACCAGCTCAAAAGTTTTGACTTTGCAATGTAAACCTGTGAAACCAAAATCACAACTCGGACGCGAACATATTCGCTTATTGTGTCCTCGTTGGCCCATCTTAACGCACATATGCTGCGTATGCTCATCACGTTGGTGTCCACTGTCGCCGTGAATGCGCCGGGTCTTTGGACGATCGCGGTGCCTCGTAAAAAAGCTAGATTTCAGTTTGTCGCAAATGATCTCAAATATGATCGTAACGAATGAGATAGCTGAAGAATATTCAACTTGTAGTGTTATGACATGGATATCCAAAGCCGTGACGTACTTTTGTCAATTACACCATGTAGCGCTCAACAATATGTTAATCTTCTGGTCTGGAAGGGTTTATCTGGCGGATGCAGTGGGCAAATGACAAATAAATTGCCATGTCTGCGAAAACGCTTACTGCACTGTTTGCAGAGAAAAATCATTTGGGTCGGTAAACTCACAGCTTAAAGTGACGTTTGATGTATGCAGCTTGAAATGCAATTAGCACTTCAATGCTCATCAACACGATGAGAACAATGACGTACCTGAGCGTTGGTGATGCGCTTGCACAATATTACAGACCATGGTCTTATACATTCATTTATAATCATTTACTATTATTATTGGTACATTGAGGTCTATTACCATGGCATTGCTACTGGGGCTTGGTAGAAGTGCGGTAAATACGGCAGCGATACCAAGAAGTAGCGACGACCCAAATGGAGCACCGAAGAGGAAGCCAACGCTATTGGGAGTTCTCAAACTTGAAGATTGAATTGCCACATTTCACCAGCATAATGACTCGCCCGAATCGTCGCTTGTATTATTAACAGCCAAATTAGATAAAAGCTACGATTTAAAGCTCAAGCGTACATTGTTCATTGCCTATTAAGGACAACCGGTCTCGCTACAAGAATTAAAATTGCTTACTTGTAGCAGGTTGCGGCTGGTTTAGCGGCCGCTGTAGCAGAGCACGAAGACAACGAAGTACGCTGCTGATGTTTTTAAAGCTGCAGAAATATGAAAATATTTTTTAAAAGTAATATATAAGTAGTTTGTAATATTAGTTATTTTGCCGCAATACAAATTCAGTCTCAACAGATGCCAATTTCTCAAAGGCGTCACTTTCACATATCGATAGCATAAGAAAACAACTCGATTCCTTCTAAGACTGGAAGGTGCGTTGTGAAGAATGATCAATACGAAAGCAAGTGTTGACATGTTGTTTCGTGTAATTATGTAACTGAAGTAATGATCATGATACGATAAGGCAGAAGCATAAAAATTGAATTGAACATGTCTTCCGCCGAATTAAAAAACGTGTTGTATTGAGAGACTGCATTTCATTACGTGTTTGACAGTTTGGGGGAATGATACTGTTGACTCAGCTTCCAAATTATATATCGCCTTCGATGACAAAAAATAAGTTTTAAAGTCATGTTTGATTCGAGCGTTTTTGAAGCAAAATAACAGTTGAAGATTTTTGTCTCGAAAAGGTTTACTGAATGTCTGATGCATCGAGCTCATTATAAAACGATCGCGTCTGATGCAACACTACTCACTAAAAAGCAGTAAGCTCAGCATATGGAGTCGATAGCGCATAAGTAATCTTGACGCCAAGTTGGAAATCGCAGACGTATTTTGAAATAGCAAAAGATGCTATGGCTAGAAATGTGAATTGTGTGGTATGACAACACTTATGCAACATTAACTTCATGATATTTGATTTGTTAAGAGCAATTTTGAATATTGCTTTTAAGGTGCTCACATCCTGAATTATGGAAACTGCCGGGTACGTTATTAGCAATTATTTGTGTGTTTGTGTCAGCTGAACGTCACCATCATTGTATACTCGTTTAGATGGGTTTGATGCGCTCTCTGTGCACTTTCCTCATGCTGCTATAGCACGATCTAACAAAAGTTGTGCTGAATTTGCTTGCAGAGAGTGCGTTGTTGTCCTCGATGGCGCTAATGTAGCATGCCAAAAGGATGGAAAAGTTCAAATTTCTAAACTAGCAGCCGCCATTGAGTATTTTCGGTCCCTCAAGATTAGCGCAGATTGTTACTCCGTCAAGTGCTTGGCCTTTGCTCCCAACTTTTGGCTCAATGTGAAGCCCACATCTAATCGAAGCACACCCAGCGAATCCGAGGCAATAGAGGATAATGATCGGGCGCTGCTCTGCAATTTGGTGCAAAAAGATTATGTGATTCTTACGCCGTCGCAGGCTCATGACGACTTTTACGTCATTGACTACGCTGTGAAACACAACGGGTTTATTGTTACGAATGACTTGTTCCGAGATCACGTCGCAAACAAGGTACATTTAAAAATTACAACGTGTCAAGAGTGTGTGCTAAATTTTATGTCTAGAGAACTTTTCGCGGTAGAAGGCTGACAAGCAAGTGGGTTCGCTTGCACTGCATCGACTTCACGTTCGTCGGACGAGAATTTATGCCAAATCCGCGTGCAATAGAGCGTGTGCTCGACTTCAATTCAAAAACAATGGAGTTGCTGCCTCTTGCTACTTCGAGTGCTCATTTATCGCAATCAGGTGTTCAGACAAGTTTGCTGAACAATGAAGACAATTCAAACGTTGCTGACGACAAAGATGGTGAGGACGAGATGCTAATTGACCATGCGGCTGCGAAGTCTAGCAAAAACATCGATTTGTCAGAGGTGACTTACTACAGAGTTCCACGCGAATTGCTGCCAATTCTACACGGCGAAGGCGGAGAAACGATGGACAAATTTCAAAGGTACACAGGAACGTACATCGTACTACCCTCGTACGCGGTTTCATCGTATTCTTCAATAACGGCGCAGTCGAATGTATTGACACTTTCAATATATGGGTAAGATTAAAATTTGTGCTCTGATCGATTAATTGCTCATTGAAACTCATTATATATAAGTGCGGAGGCAAGTAGGCAACAAGCAGTGGCCCACCTGGATGCGTTTCTTGTCCAGATGCAGTTTCAATCACAAAACGGTTTGCTGCAACAACAACATTACTTGACATCACTTAATCAGACACAGATTCATCCTCGGCAGCAGCAATTTGCCGCAAGCAATGAAACTCAAGATGACAATATGATGGACGTTGATCTCTGTTAGGATTAAAATGAAACGATTTGATATCCATCGTTGCTTGTTAAGCATTTGAGGGAGGATGGATATACGCTTCGACCTAACTGTCCCAATGTTCCACTGGTTAATCCAAGAAGAAATGTGTGTCGGAGCTAAAGAGCATATGCAAAACACACAAAAACTTACAACTGGGCACTTTGTAGCTAAGACTACAACTCGCACCCCATAACATCGATTCTTAGGAGATAAATGAGAGGTCACGCCGGGAGCAAAATTTTGGAGAATCAAGCAATCGCTGAGCGTAAATGTTTTATTTTACATATGTAAGACTACTAGACCGAAAGGTTCATCAATTTTAAGATTACTGTCTGGTGACTTCCTTACATCGGCTATGTATTGGTATGTTTTACAACAGCGTATACTGTAACCGCACTCAGTAATCTGAAAGTAGAAGAACGGAGATTGATCCATCACGACTCAGAGCTCCAAATGGTATGAATTAGCCAAGAACGTGGGTGAGGCAAACTGGTCTGATTCGGCTTTGATCACAAACTTGAATCCATGGAATTGGGAGTTTTATGTGGGTCTGCTTTACAAAGAATGTTGAGACTGAATACAGTCACCGTCGTACGTTGCATCTGGCGGCTTAACCTCGTACTTACAGACCAGAGGCGTTTAAAGTCAACCTGTCCGTAAATGACTGTTTTAAGAGCGATACATCGCCCACGGAAACTCGCGTCCACCTTCGATTGTGACCGATTGCTGTCGGGATATTATGCGGCTGACTTTGTCAGAAGTCCGCCCCGCTGATTTATTCAAACCACGACTATCTAAGAATTGGATTACCAGCAACGACTACCAATGGTGGGTGCGAAGAAGAGATGATTTTCTCGTAATAACCATGCGAGTTACACTTAGACGTGGACCACACTGGAGGATAAATTTAGTTTGAGATACTAAGCAAAATTGGTCGCTTTACAGCATACAGCGTATCTTAGCTTAGAGGAATCTAAGCTAAGGTCACCGACATTACATTCTTTTCAAGAACCAGTACAAGTCTAGCGAATCGTAATCCGCTATTTCTATGTACTAAAGCCTTTACCAGGGCAAGCGACTATTTCTGTTCAGAAACGAAACTGAATTTAATTGTTTTAGCTGCGTTAGCCGCCAATATCTAAAGACCTTGTTTTTTAATGAATTTAGTAACACCTAATTGATATACCAAATCCTAGCTAATAAAGTAATATACATTGCTATTGTCAATCCTGCCACGTGGTGGCTTCTTGTTACGGTGTAGCCATACCACTACAATAACTGTGTAATACACACCTATGTACGGTCGCACAAGATTGTGCGACCCGCCCTTTCTCACAAGGCATGTGTAACCCCGTTACACTCCTCCAGTTAAAATTGTGAACATCCACAATTCACATTTAACGGTCGCGTCATACGAGGCTCGCGTTCTGAAACACCTTAACTTTCTTTAAAAACAACTTCAAACCTTCTTCGCTCTATGATCACTGTGTCTACGACACGCAAAATACCCAGCTCGGTTGGTAGCAAGGGCGCCCGCGAGCAAAGCCCTCATTTTTCTTCTACACAGGACGCATCTCCGGACAATACGTCTACTGCTTCACGGGAAGCACATCCTAAGCCCTCGGCGACTGGGCGCGACACACCGCGCTCCGGGCGACGGATTTCCTCGTCGATGAGTTGGAGGCGCAACGTGAGCCCAGCTTAAACCCTGCGGACGCTGTGCTCTTTGAGTGATGGGTGCAGCGGCACCAGAAACTGTTTTTGCTGTCTAACTTACAGCAAAGCCACGAGGAAGTGGACGTGCGCGTTTAGTGCCGTCTCAGATCTGATTTTGCCAAACTCAAGGCGCGACGCGACTTCCTGCGTATTGTAGCCCTGCGTCATATGGAACTATCCATAACGCTCCCGCGAGCTCTGTGGTTTCGCACACGGGTAATTCTACGACCACAGTAGCTCATGGCCCTCCGAATTTCCGGACTACTGCCAAGAAGCGCGGTGCGCAAGATGACGCGAAGCGTCATGAACCTTATGATCATAAGCGTCTACGACGTCTGGGCCATCTTGCCGAAGTGGTACCACAAAATCCCACGAGTTCTCGGAGTTTCGGTATCCCCACCACTTCACACGATATTGAATTAGACACTGTCGATGACGTCGACCCACAAGGCGTTCCACGTGCTAGTGGACGCCACCGTTCTCATCGAGAAGATTCATCTTGATCAATCGCCGTCCGGTGACTCGCGATGCTCTTCATCATTGGCACTCTGCCGAATACTCATCGTGGTCGCCTACCGCTGTGCGGAAGACATCGAGGGTCTGGAGTATTTTGTGGCCCGAATGCCTTGCGTTGAGAGTTACCGTGCTTTGTCGAGGCGGTTTAAGCAAGTCCACATAAAACACCGGAGGTGAGCATCCTTTTCGAAGGTTCAGCGAATACGCTAGGCCTTGCTTGGCCACGACCTTAAAAGGTCCGACAAGTCGTGGGTGGATTTTCCTCTGAAAGACAGCAGAAAATGCATATGGTGGAAGCGCTTAATAAAACCAGGTCTCCGACTTCAATGTTTTCAGCATTCCTTTTTCCTTTCCCGTCTGCAAATTCCTTCTGCATGTCTTGGCTTTCAGCCATCGCATCGCGAACGTGTCGTAATTTACTCAGTCTATTAGACGGGATGTCTCCGACTTTTTTACGCACGATGTGGGATCTAACATCAGCTAATCGTTCGGCTATTCCTCTCACCAAGCCCCGAGCGATGATATGGCGGCGTCAGCGGGACATCTCTACTGGATTTAATAGTCGATCAACTGCATGGGATGATTTCGACCATTACGACTAGCTTCAAGAAAAATTCAGCGCTAGGATTAATAAACCCCTTCACGTAGAACGGCAAATAGTGATGAATGCACTGCGTTGCTTAGAGCAAACTCTACGAGTGGCAACATAGCGCTTCAGCGCTTCGGCGTCTCAGACGCTGCAAAGAATGTCGACAACGACGTGATTTACACTCTCAATCTGACCATCGGTCTGTGGATAGTTTGCTGTTGACATAGTCAACTTGGTGCCCAGAACCCTGAAGAGTGTAGACCAACACTGTCAGTGATGCGCGGGTCTCTATTAGAGACAACTGACTCTGGGAGTGCATGTTGTCGAAAAACACGATTCACAAACAGCGTCGATGTCCCTATACCGTTGATGGTGTCCGGCACTGCCGCAAGAGAGCCATCTTGCTCCAACGGTCCACAATGACCACTACACCCGTGTTGCCTGCCGAGTCCTTCGGCAGTCCATCAGCAGGCCAACCGCAGGCCAAACACAAGCTACATACTCATGGACTGCCAACACCCGGAGGGTACCAGTTAACTAGCCAGCGACACCGTCGCATTTGGAGAGGGTTTCACCCTCTGACACGTCTCACACGTGCACACATATGTGCTCGTCCATTTGTATAGCTTCAGCCACCAATAGTGGCAATTCACCGAGCTGCATGTCTATTAACAACCGAGATGACCCTTAAGTGAGTTGTTGTGGGCTTCATAGAGGATACGATATTTTAAGCCCCTCATCGTGAGGAGACCACAATTCGTGACGTATCCGTCGAATCGGTGCTATAATACAACAACCCGTTACTCAACGAATATCGGTGTAACCGTGTGCCAAACGTGACGACAATTTCTTTTCTGAGTCTTCAAACGCCTTGCTCTCGAAAGCCTGTAGCAGCGCTACACACTTGTTGTCACCCGCGTATGGGGCGTGGATCATATCCGTCACTGACGACATCACCGTCGTGATATGAGCAAGCTTATAGTCCTGTCTGCGTGACAACACATCAATCAAAGCATTCTGCTTTCCTGGCCTACATTTCACCTCGAAGTTGTATTCTGCAAAGAATGAAAGCCACCTGGCCATCGTCTGCGAGAGATGAGGCGTCTGAGTAGCAGCGCGTAATGACGCATGATATGTGTAGATAGAAAACGGCTTTGAGCCAAGCAGGTGCACCTTGAGCGTGACTAGTGCATACTTCACAGCAAGTAATTCCTTGTCGTGAACTGGATAGTTCCTCACCGCATCCTAAAGCTGGCGAGATTCGAACGCGATCACCCGATCTCGTCCCCCGGCGTCTACTTGCAGCAGTGCACAGCCGATGACAAAGTTCAAAGCGTCGCATACGACACTTAAAGGACGATCGGGATCTGGCAATGCCAGTACTAGTGCATGAAGGAGGCTGTCTTCGACCTTGTCAGAAACCTCCCATTGCTCGATGTTCCAACACCATTTAGCATCCTTATTAAGCGATTCGACAATTGCCATGCCATTTCCGCGAAGTTTGCACTATACTTGTGCAAGTAGTTGGCGAGGCCAAGCCACGTGCGCAAGTCCTTTTGGTTCTGCGCCGAAAATGCACTTTCCAGCATAAGTATACACTCGAGCACCGCTCTTAAATGGACAATGTGGTTTTCCTCATCTGTCATCCCGTGCCCCGCACGACTGTGAACGAAGTCGAATTATGTCCGCGCACTCGCCCCATGGCGTCTAAGCAATTGCATCACAAGTCGATAAAATGTTGCTGGTGCATCTGAGAGGCCTTGGAGCATCACCAGCCACTCCCAGCGCATGTCGCCTGGAGTACTCACCGCTGTCAGCGGAATATCACTCGCTCTCGTGAGCAATTGATAATAACCATCGACCAAGTCGAGTGCGCTGTACTTTTTACAGCTAGCCATATTGTTCCGGAGAACATTCTTTATAGGAATCAACGTCTGTGCCGGAATAATAGCAGCGTTAAGCTAATTGTAAGCGTGAGCGATACGCCACTTGCCAATCGGCTTCCGGACACAAAACGAGGGTGTCAAATGGGGAGACTTACTCTCACGCACGAATCCTGCATCGTGCTTCGCACGGAAGAAGGTGTCAATGGCGTCACACAGCCCCTTGGGCAGGGGCCATTGGCGTGTTACGCAGTATTTGATTCCCGGAACCAGTTTAATCGCATGAC